GTTGATGATAATATTGATTTACAGAAATGTTAGTACACCAACAACAAAATATTTTAGAAAACTAGATTAATTTGTTGTGATTGATTGTAATTTGCACATCGACGACATTCATTTGTTTCACTATGTATCTATTATGTGGTATATAATTTAATGTTTTATTGATGCAGAACAATCACATGTTACACATGATTATGTTTCTCCTAGTGGCTCACCTTATTGGATTCATGTTGTTTTAGACCACATCAAACCTAAAATCAACTCAATAGTTGACTCATGTGGTGCTGCATTATCAATGTATAAAAATTATGCATCAGAAGCAGGTTTTGATGCTAGGCTTGGAACAATTAGAACAACCAAATCCGACATTATCACACAACGACATTTTCTATGCAATCGGGAAGGTAAACCAAGAACCGCTAAAGTGGATACTCTAGACCCACAACATAATAAGATTCAAAGAAGGAAATACTCATTTAGGTGCAAATGCAAAGAAAAAAATGTTTTTATTCTATTACATGGTACTAATACATATATTGTTGATGATTTTCTCGAACAACATACTCATGTGTTGTTTGGTAAGGACAACATGTTTTTGTCTCGTACAAAGAGTAAACTTGATTATTCTCAGAAGATGTTTATTCACAACTTGTCAAAGCAAATTATTGGTGCCTCAAGAGCATCCTTTCCGTCACCACTCATACATCCATAACCGACAAGTCGAAGTCATCAGAACCAATGTCCTTGACAGTAATTCTCGGCTCAACAAAATCACTTAAACGAAACAGGGTTCGAGCATTGTTTTCCAAAAAAATTTAAATCAGGAAGCATTCAAACACTACCCCCAATAAAACCCTATAAACATATAAATTGAAGAAGAATAAGAATAATTGCAAGAATAACCTTTCTCTCGAGCAAATAAAGCAGGAAAACCCCCCATACGAATCCAATGAGGGTTCATACTTACTTTCCCTAACACTGTTTCTGGGAATTTTTCATCGACACGCCCAACATATAAATTTTGGATATCTCCTGACCATGATCGTTTGTCCTTTTATGTATTTGGTCCTCGATGGTACCAGAAGAATGAAAGATATTGGCAAAAGAAAACTGCAAAGCGTTAAGCCAAATGAACTCATTTTTCCATCTCTTGATAGATTCTAGAAGACCCTCTATGAAACTCTTTCCTTTGGACGAAAGTAAAACCAAACACTATTGTAAATACGAAAGAAATGGCAGAACAAATCTACCATTAGAAAAACAAGGGACATATGTCATGATAACTCAAAAATATCAGTTTGGAGACAAAATTTGGTTTCAGTTGGCAAGTACGGATCTTGTAGGTTTCAATAACTTACCCAAAGAATGACGAAGGGGGCGCCCTCAAACCTGCTTCAAAATAGTAAATATAAAACCCTATCTTACCTGAAGGAGGACGACCGATAGGAGCACCAGAACCATGAATTTGAGCACCATATTCTTCAATAAGATGATACTTCTCAAAGACTTTGGCTAATCGATCACGAGAAATAGCGAAATGAATAACTGGCCTAGAAAAACGAGACATCTTTCTAGAAGGCAAAGCAACAATGGCAAGATGAAGAAAAAGGATGATGAAGGAGGAAATAACTGGTGGACGAACATTAATATGGGAAAAAAGGCGGGAATGCATATTCCTGAAAAACTAGTAACTACATGAACAATTACGCGAGTACACAACCACGTATAACCTATAGTAAATTGTTTACTTCGCAGTAAATAAATGTTATTTAAAGCCCAATTATAAAAGCACGTCAACAATTAAGTAACATCCACATCTGATATCTAACTTAGACATCAGAGAGCAATACCATGGTCCCACCCTCAATAGTGCTTCTTGACCTTGTGTGTATCTATTTTGTAGCATAACTTCCGCTATCGACCTTATTGGAGGAAATCATTAACACACCAACAACTAATCATGGAGCTACGTAGCATCATTAATTAATCATATAGTCAAAAATCTCTTATGTTAAAATTTTGATATGAATAACCCTTATATTTGTATGTTTATTGCTTGCAACGTTATTTGACGTTTGCAAACTTAACAATATCGTGCTATATAGTTAAATATGTATCGTACTTCAAAGGACATACATATCATTTATATAAGAAGTTATAAAACAAATGAATACAAAACGTTTAATACTTTCACTTAATTACAAAGAAATATAACAAAACACAAAACATCCTAAATCCCAAACTCCAAACCTAAATGAATAAGCCCAAATTAATAGAGTATGTGCTAGTATTTCTTCCACTAAGATTTGAAAGTCACGACGGTGATTTTTAAGTACTGATACCATGAATTGTTGGACACGTAACCTAAAATTTGGTTTCTAGACAATCTCTCACATTCCTTGTAAGTGCACAAAGTTTGAAACAAATAACCACCATTTATACAACTTTTTAGATTTCTTCGTGATAAGCAAAAACTTTTTTAGAGTTTAAGTACCATTTATTCCTTGGGGTTGGCTAAAAAGACACCCTATTTTACCATTTAGACAACCCTAATTAATGTTTGAAATATTTTTATTGGTTGAAATTGCATTGTTTTCCGAAAAAGATGATTACAAGTAGTTTATTATAGGATGATTTTTTGTAAAAATGATTATAAGGTGTCTAAGAGGTGTCTTATTAGCAACATGAATATGTCTTATTAGCAACATGAAAAATGATTAAAAGATGATTACATATTTTTATCGGTTGAAATTGCATTGTTTTCCTTCCTCTTTGACTTTTTTTTTAGCTTTTTTTGGTGACCTAAATTCAAAATGAATATGTCTTAAATATATCTTCCAAAATCCGAAATACATATTTCATCCTAAATCTAACAATAAATTAAAAAAGCTTACAATAAAAAAGTATATTTCGATAAAGCTTTACAAGCTGATGTTATTTCTAGAAAAATGGAAGACATTTGATATACCTCCCGTTGAGAGATAAAAAAGAAGATTTGAAAATAATTTTTAATAAATATGAAAAAGTTAGATTTAATATCTAGTTGGAAATGACGCGTTTCAAAGGAAAAAAATAATTTTAGTAATCTATTTAAATATGGATTCTGATTATGTTTGTGCTTTGAGACTACTTCTTTTTGCTTGTGTATTGCACCCACTTGTACATCCGATTAGATACAATTACAAGCTTCTTTTTCATGCTTGATATCTTGATGATGAGATCGTAATTGGAGATTCAAGGGGGGTGGCCATAGTATTGGACATCATTAGGGAGATAGGTACAAGATTGGGTCTTGAATTAAATATCAAGAAAAACTGAGTTATTTTGGCCTTCATGTGTTGGTAGGAAGTTTCAAGCAAGTTTATTCCTCATTGACATCAGGCGTCTGTTATTGGGGGATCTATTAGTAAAGACACGGGTTTTATTAGCGGGTTAGCCATGAAGAGAGATGTCAACGTTGTTAATTTGATGTGCATTCTTCCATAATTATGTGACCCCCAAAGTGATCTACTTTTGCTACGATCTTGCATGGGTATTACCAAAAATTTCTTAGACATGAGGACATGCCAACCCGTTCACATGGAGGAGGTGGATTTGTTCTTTGATAAATGGTTACGCGGGTCGATTGAGGACATTGTGGCTTGCGAGGGTCCTTTCTTTGAGAACATTTAACGATAACTTGCTTCATTACCAATTAGGTTTGGTGGTTTGGGGTTGTACTTAGCGGTAAAGGCTTCCTCCTATACATTTATGGCCTTACGAGATCAATCGTGGGTGTTATAGGACCACATCGTACGATATAACAACATATGTGGTATGGATTCTGATTATGTTTGTGCTTTGGTCTGTCTTCGTGATACTATTCGAGACTTTGACTTCAAAGTTTTCACTAATAAGGACACTCCCCCTACAAAAGCCCAATATTCATTGGCGAGTTCCATTTTTAGTAAAATTGTTCAAGACGTGTAAGTTACTTTGGCATGACTATTAGGCATAAAGTAGTTTTTGAGTATCTAAGGGCACCACATGCTCATGATTTTCTTATGACTATTCCTATTGACGGTCTTGGTGTAACGACGTGAATTTTCAAAACAATTTTTCATTTTTAAAACATACATTTATTCATAAGATAATATCAAAACATAATGTATCCAATGTTATCATAACAAAACATATCCCATAATCTCAAAACATAAACTCCATGAGTGTGTACAGATCATGTCAGCGCCTTCCCGCGATCATCACTAGTACCTAAAACACATAACACATAACACAGTAAGCCTAAATGCTTAGTGAGTTCTCCAAAATACCACATACAATACATATTAGCCACTCGAGGCTATAACGCTGTATGACCCTCTGGTCAATGTTTCTTAGTAGGACCCTCCAGTCCCATAACTTTGTGGACCCTCTGGTCCTAACTCTGTGGACCTTCTGGTCCTAACTTTGTGAACTCTAAATCATATAACACAAATCACATAGGAATCACATCATACAAAAGCATACAAGATACTCTGTCACATAACTCTAATTACCACTCTAGGTAAAGTATAGTGAGAAGACTCTTCCCGAGAAATCTCAAACAGACTCGAACTCAGAATACCGATCTAGCCTCCGCCTAATCACATAAATAAATTAATCTAAATCAATAACGACTCTCAAAGGCTAAATAAATCTCTTATTATAATTTATAGAAGGGTAAAAGACCATTCTACCCATACTGGTCCAAAGGTCCACTGGTTGACTAAACCCTAAAAGTCAACTGAAGTCAACAGTCCACACTGACCAGACTCGTCGAGTTCATGCGACTACTCGACGAGTCCATACGCGTACTCAGATTCCTTCCCACGGTCTCACTGAGTCACTCACCTAACTCGTCGGGTCACAAATGGCCACGAATCGTAGACAACCCAGTCCGAGTCGTCGAGTCTACCAATGGACTCGCCGAGTTTCCCCCATGCTCATGCTCAATCGACCCTCTGAGGTCAGATCTGCTTTACCAACCTATAGATCTGGCCTCCTATAACCCAAAAGTCACGTAAAGGTTCGAACTTTAGGTCCATGCATCACACTATCATCTCTATATGCCAAAATAATCCTTAATGTGATAACCTAGGCCCCAAAACTCATAAAGGCTTGCATAAAGCTGAAGAATAGGGACTCTCTGGACCTCTCAAGGTCCAGATCTGACAATATTGTCACAAAGGGACATCACAAACACTAGATCTCTACAAAAAATGAAGAGAAGAAACTCTAGATTCATGAAATCTATTACTCAAATGAAGATAAATATGAATCCATACCTCCCAAGGCAGCTCTGAACGAAATGATGGTAGATTTGAGTACCACAAGTCAACCTAGCTTGAAATCCTTCCTTCCCTTTGCAAAAACACACAAAGAATGATGAATTAGCCCTCATCTTGCTCTACAAGCTCTCTCTCTGCTCTCTAGGGTTTCTTAGGGGTGTAGTGGCCGCAAATGAAGGCCATAAAGGCCTTTAAATAGGCTCCAAACCCGGTGAATTAGGGCTTGCTTCATCAGCACCGACTCGTCAAGTCAGATACCCGACTCGCCGAGTCCGATCGCGAAACGCGTCAAAGGATCCCGATCGAGGCACCAACTCGTCGAGTCCCTCCAAAAATGTCACACCCCCAAACCAAGGATGGCGGAAACGTCTGGGGGTGGAGGACTTCATGTACAGTATCACAACAACGTGTATAATAGTGCTCAAAGTAAAAACAACCACCATATATATAATTGCAAAAGTTACACCAAAGTATATGTTTATATGCTTCAAAAGCAATTACATTATGATGACAAAATAAATTGTTGACGGTTTAACGTCCCATCCTCAAAGCGATGAAGTTTTCCTGTTTCACTGATTTCCTGAGAATACAAGTAGTTTTAAAAAGTGTCAACACAAAGGTTGGTGAGTTCATAAGAGTTTTGTTTGAAGTAGAAACCGTTTTTCCTTGTAAGATCGATATAGTTTGATTTCCAGAAAATCCAATATTTTCTTATTTAAGTGTGAATAGAAATATTCCTATATGATGCATTAATGAATCCTAGAATGACCCGTAGAGTTCCTCTATAATCGTCCAACGTATATAAGTTATATAAGGTTTAAATTAGATAAAACGTTGAATATAGTGGGTCTGCCCTAGGTCCACAACCAAACAAGGAACAGGAGATGAGGCGGGCACCACCAATTCTAGGCCAATCAAGACAAAATTCTTATAGGACTCAAACATGTACGCTCAGCGATTATAGTTGAAGTCTAACAGTTCTAGATGCAATATAGTTTTAATATCATAATAACTAACTTAAGTGAACTTGGTACTTTGTATCGGTACCCCCTTTCTTTATAGAGACCCGGCACTTTGTATTTGTACCCCTTTTTGTATAGAGACCCGGCACTTAGTATTTGTACCCCTTTTTGTATAGAGACCCGGCACTTTGTATTTGTACCCCTTTTTGTATAGAGACCCGGTACTTTGTATTTGTACCCCTTTTTTTTTGTATAAGTGTGTTGAGTGATGTATCATAAACTATACCTATTATAGTTTATCTAAAATGTATGTAATATGTATGAACCCTTTTATGGAAATGTATTAGTGTTATAAATATATTCAAACTATACTTTTTATAGTTAAATAATACGTGTTCCAAAATGAATGAATAATATTTAATATGAGTGTCTTAGTTTCAGTTCATAATGATAAACTAACAAGGAAACACATTCAAATATTAGAACTTATCATTATACACTTTGCTCAACATAATACAAAGTGTTATGATATTTACATGCTGTTGGCTAACTTTAGCCATTCTGTCCTGTTTTTGGAAAAATCATAGAAAAATCATACGAAGTCGAAAACTAGATCCGTAAATTCTGAGAGTTCACAAAATGTGTCTAGTTTACTCATAATTTTTATCATGATTTTTAATGACCTCCAACTTGGGTGAAAAAGTCCAAAATCACAGACTGGTCCGGATTGTTGTTTGAAATGATAGGCAGTTTTGTAAAAATCACCATAAATTGTAGAAAAATCGTATGGAGATGTGCACGTAGCCATTTTAAAGCTAAAAACTTGAACTATTTGCACCTTGTACAGTTTTGAAAACAAAAATGTTTAAGATGCCCAAAACAGTCCGTGAATGGAGTTGAACTTTTCTGATGAAGGTTGTTAGAAAAATTTAGTTATGTTCTTAGTGTTTTAACTTGTATCCCCCCCCCCCTGAAAACTTGAGAAAACATGAAAATGTAGGGGTATGAACTCACCTTGAGTGATTTCAGTAGGTAAGTGTTGAAGAAGAGAAGTGTTCAACCCAAGAACACTTGAAGAATCACTTGAAGATTCGAAGCTCTAACGCTAATATGATGGAGTTTGTGTAAGATATTCATGATTTGAGTAGAATGAAGTGAAATAATCATAAGGAGGATGAATTATACTTACTAAGAGTGGAAGAACACGTGAAGATCAGCCTTGAATCTCGAGTTTGGAGTGGGAAAAGTTTGAGAGAAAATGGTGTTTGATACTTAGTGAAATGAGGGCAAATGAGAGAAAATGAGGAGAGAGGATGTTTGTTCCAGCTCTAAAAACGTGGGAATGAGTGTAAATTGAGTGGAAATGACATTGATGTGACCTAGGTAAGGTGGGGAGGTGTGGTTAGTCAAAGAGTGGGTGTGGGGTGGTTGCTTGTGACATTGGGTAAGGCAAAGTCAACACTCCACCTTTAATAATTTACCCATTTGATTTTTATTATTTAAATAATGATTTTCATCAAAATATGTTTAAATTATGAATATTTAGAGTTTATTATGTTAAAATATAATTTCTGGAGAAAATCCCGCTTTAAAATCATGAAAAACGGGCTTAAAATGTTAAAAATATCAAAAATGGGCTAAAAGTGGCAAATATGCGAATTCTGGCCGAGGCTCGGCCTTCTGGTGCTGAACCGAGAGAGAGAGAGAGGCAGAAACCGAGAGGGAGGAAGAGAGAAGGAAGGAACCGAGAGGGAGAGAGAGAACAGAGGGAAACGAAAGGGGCGAGTCAGACGCGCGAAGTGATGGGCGAGGGTTCGGTCCGAAGGGTCAGTAGCGAGGGTGGGGTTCGGTTCGGGAATAAGAGGCGAGGATGTCAGAACCGAACGGACTGTAGTGAACAGTACCTTCGGTTCGGTTTGGGTTCCTTGCTCTTGGGTTCGGTTCCTTGCTCTCGGGTTCGGTTCTTTGTTCTCGGGTTCGGTTCCTCCTGGGCGAGGTTCGGTCCTGAGAGGACCTTAGGCTCAGGAGGGTTCGGCTCCTCCTTGCTCTTGGTCCCTAAGAGGACCTTCGGTTCCTAATGTCCCTTTTTCTCGTTTTCACCCCGTTTTGAGTCGTTTTTGACCCGGTTAAGGGTCGGAATGACCCGAATGATTCCAAAAAGTTAAGGGAAACTTTTGAGAGAGATTTCTCACACTTGGAGAGATTTGGGAGAGATTTGACATTCTTGGAGAGATTTCTCATACAGAGAGATATTTGAGAGAGATTTCACATACTTGGAGAGATTTGGGAGAGATTTGACATTCTTGGAGAGATTTCTCATACAAGGAGATATTTGAGAGAGGTTTCACATACTTGGAGAGATTAGGGAGAGATTTTGACATAGAGAGGGATAGAGTGAAAACAATTGAGAGAGGTTCTGTGTGGGACAGTTGTGAGTGTCCGGCACCGCAATGCATGGTTCGTAAACTCTGTTAAGCCTCGTTTAAGGATCTTACACACTCCCGATGAGTAAGCATCATTGTTTTATCGGTTTGGCTCGCCACGTACTACAGTTTTTAGGTTAAAGAGATCTAGTTGTAACTACTTTTCGATTTATGTTTTCTTATCAGAATAGCGAGTTGTTTAGTAAATACTGAACGTAAGTCCAAGTACACAAGGGTTAGTTGAGCTGATCGGTTTGACTTGTTGACTTTATTTGACTTTGAATTGACCAGAATTTGACGGTTGTCACAAAAAATCCCAAAAATTACTATTTAAAATAGCATACCCGCAAACCCGAATGTTACATTTGGCCAACATATGTTGCTAGTGGAGTATCGTGCTATCCTCAAGTATCACCTTATGATCCTTTTATTTCAAGTTGATGAGACATGCCCAGTTTGTCATAAGGCATGCTTGGTCTCTTTTAGGGAACATGTAGTTCATTATAAAGAGCTCCCGAGTTTCAAGTACTGACACGATCTGGTAAGAAATGTTCTTTTCGACATATTTAGCTGCTCTGAGTTTTTTGCCAAGAAAGAGACACCTGTGAAATTTCTGACAGACCCGTTGGAAGGAAGATCAATACTTAGAGCAACTGACATGGGTTTTCACTGTAGGGCAGACTGCTTTATATCTTTTTTTCATTTGACACTTTCGGTTTCCTTATGCAAAATGTTGTGAAACTACCCAATAGAGTCCAACAGATGATGCATAGTAATGTTATGACCCCAAGATTTATGTATGTTGTTTTGAAAAAAATTAATTTTGTCATCGACGCAACTTATTGCTTGTTACACGCTACGTTTAAGTAAAACTTTTACGAAAATGAATTTTTCTGGAGGGTTTGTATAAAAAAATAATATAAAGAAATATGTGATTGTTTATATGAATATCCTATAAACTATTATGTACATGTAAATATTAATGAAAATAAAGTGTGCATGCATTATGCCTACATATGTAAAGTGATATAATCTATTTTAAGCATATTTTCTAGTTTGTCGATCCGAACCAAATATAATAATTAGTGGTCAACAAAAATGAGATGTCACATAGGAGAAAGAAAAAAAGAAAAAGAATAATAACACCTCGTAAAGGGAATTTTGATTTTTAATCTAATAAGAAAGTTCCCTCCTTTTTCTTTATTTTTGTGATTTCAAGAAAAGTAAACTTTTGCCAGTCTACTGTCTCCATCTTGCAACAGCATAACAAACCTCATCGCCATTTGCAGATAGCACAGCAAATCAGCATTCATCTTCTCATTCCCCTCCATTAACACCCTCCATGGCCATCTTCATCAACTACTGCTCTGTCACAAATCATCTCTGTGTGTTTCACTGTGTGTGAGAGATGCAACGAGAGTGGGCAGACAGAGGAGAGAGAAAGAGAAAAACACCCATCAAGATTCAGTTCAATTCAAAAACATTAAATTAAATTTGAGATCTCGCTATCTGTCTTCATTAGGATACATACAACTCTCAACTCGGATTTCCTTAAAAGAAATCTCATGTTTTGTTTATTGTAGACATACAAAGAAGAAAGCTAAGTATGAAAATCTTTCTTGGTTTTTTGTTTGTCTTAGTTTTGGATTTCGAAATTAGCTCAACTGATGCCAGACCCGAAGCTTCATTTCCGTTTTCTGCGATTTCTGTTCCTGAATCCTCACCTGCTGCGCCTCCCATTCCTTCAATTCCGGCGTCAATGGCCGACTTCACTTCAGGTATATATCCCCTTCCATCATTCACATCCGGGTTATTGCTATCTACCTCTAACATCTTTACTTTCATCCGAATCAGGAACTGAAATCGATATCACGAAGCACCAACACAGTTCAAGTCGAAAGGTTCTTATTGGTCTCATCACAGTTTCGTCTGTGATGGCAATCATCATAGTGTTCATCGTGTGTTTGTGGATATGCCACAGAAAGAATATACACAAATCAGGCAAAATCGGTACCAAAAAATTAGGTAAGATGATGTAAAACTTCATAGGTTTTGATAATTTCTACAGATTCTAATCAGATTCGCTGTTTTAATTTCAAGATTCTCTGAGAGGGCTTCCATTGAGTTCATTCGTTAGCAGAACTAACGGTGTTTTCAAAACCAAAATCGAAAAGGGATCGGTGGTTGTTATGGATTATAACGTGTTAGAATCAGCAACAAATAGCTTCGGTGAAAGCGAGATATTAGGCGTAGGTGGATTTGGATGCGTGTATAAAGCTCGACTCGATGATAATTTGCATGTTGCTGTTAAAAGATTAGATGGTATTAGTCAGGACGCCATTAAAGAATTCCAGGTTAATTATCATTATCTTAAAGATGCAGACTTTAGTACTTTACTTAATCTTTCAATTCTTACAATTTTGTGATTAGGGTTTTCGTTTTTGCAGACGGAGGTTGATCTATTGAGTAAAATTCATCATCCGAATATAATCACCTTATTGGGATATTGTGTTCATGATGAAACCAAGCTTCTTGTTTATGAACTGATGCATAATGGATCTTTAGAAACTCAATTACATGGTGAGTCAATGTTTTGACCTTTTCACAATACCTAAAATACCCTTTAAAGCTCTGGAGCAAAATCAATACGATTAGGTTGTTTTTGGTTTTTACTTTTTAGTTATCAGTCTAACACAAGTACACAACATCTTGAAAGCCGACATAAATTGATATGATTACAGTTTGTAACATAGGAAAGGGCAAATATGTCTTTTTCTAGCTATTGATTAGTTTGTAGTGATGGTTAAAGCTTAAAGGGGTAGATGGGTCATATGCTTGAAAAGGAGATATGTAGCAATCGATACGAAAATCCCCAAATATGGAAAGTGTGTTAATTTTTTGATGAGATTGTTGGAGTATTTTATTATTTATATAAAAAAAAAATAAAAAAAAAAGATTAGATAACAAGAATTAAATTATGTGTCCATACACAGGGCCTTCCAGTGGATCCAATTTAACATGGCATTGCAGGATGAAGATTGCTCTAGATACAGCAAGGTGGGACTTGTGGATAATTAATTAATTTAATAATGAGATGAATTTTTTATTATTAAAATTTTAAAATATTTGTAATTATTTGAGTACAGGGGATTAGAATATTTGCATGAGAACTGCAAACCATCGGTGATTCATAGAGATCTGAAATCATCTAATATCCTTCTGGATTCCAGCTTCAATGCGAAGGTACTTTTTTAAACATCAAATAATTTTTTTCTTTTTTTTTTTTAAAATAAAATTTTCACAAAATTTCTTTCTGTCAGAATCATAATAATAATAATGCATCTCCCACCTACTTTGAAAGTCTTAGGTAGGCTATAGGACTTGCACTCATAGTGGGACCTACACCTTTCCGAAAATAAAAAAATTATTTTCTGATCAGTTTTTCAAATATGTTAAAATAATCAATTTTGTGTTGTAAAAAGAAGAAGAAGAAGAAGAAATACTGAAACTTTATTACAATTGTGTTATCTTTTGTAAAGCTTTCAGATTTTGGTCTTGCTATAATGGATGGGGCCCAGAACAAAAACAACATTAAGCTTTCAGGGACATTGGGTTATGTAGCTCCTGAGTATCTTTTAGATGGTATGTATACATTCATTGATTTGTTTATTACTTTATTACACTTATTGGGTATTTTATTATTATTATTATTTTAAGTTATGATGTTATTTAAATGTACAATGTCATAATTGGGTAGATTTTTTCATAGGATAAAGCTTGAATAAGAAAAAAAAAAAAAACTGCAATATATAAATAATTGAAAGTATGTTGCTATTTCTAGGATTTAAATCCAACTTTTTTGTGCTATTTAATGATGGTCAATTACAAGTACAGAATTTTGATGCATAAATTGAATGTTGATAAAAGGATGTTTTAATGCTTTCCATTTTTGTGTACAGGAAAATTGACGGATAAAAGTGACGTGTATGCATTTGGAGTTGTACTTTTAGAGCTTTTACTCGGAAGGCGACCTGTAGAAAAATTAGCAGAGTCGCAATGCCAATCTATTGTCACTTGGGTAGAACTTACATTTTTTTTTTTGAACATTTGATTATTTGATTTTTATTTGGTGTTTTGAAACCAAATTTGTAAATTTCAGGCAATGCCACAATTAACAGACAGATCGAAGCTTCCGAATATTGTAGATCCCGTGATCAGATACACAATGGATCTCAAACACCTGTACCAAGTACGTGAATATGATTAGAAAAACTAATTTTAAATATATCATCTGATTTTTGAATAAACAGTTTATGAGATTATAAATGTTTGAATGATTTAACACATTTTTCTTTAAATTTTACATGCTGCAAAAAAGATTGACGGGATAAATGCATTAAATGACAACGTACTTTTTTTAATTATATATTATTAGTTTGTTTTTTAATAGTCGAATTTTGAAAAAAATAGCCAATTTTATCATTGTAACTTATTTTGAAAATCTGCCCAATTATAGCAGTGAAATTACTTTGTATTTGAATGGGGCCATTCCTATAGTTAGGTGGATTTTTGCAAAGTACAAAGTGTTAACATGAATAAATGGAAAAATACATGGTAGTAGTAACATAGATTCATTTATTTGTACGTTATAGCATCTCCCTTTCATTTCTTTCTATTACAACATCATTCTTTCAATATCGTTTAATTAATGTATTGTATGTAGAGAAATCGATTTGTATTACAATCACATTGCTAAATTAGGTAAGTTATAATAATTTAAATTCAATTAATCTATGTTATTATTTCTTGCATTTAATCCTTGAATGAATCATAGGTTGAAATTGCCTCCTTTGTTAGAAATAAAGAAGTTAGGAATCAATAGAAAAGACAAATCTCTTATGATATACATACCATATGTTATTGATAGAGTGAATAAATCTGTTATAATAGCAAATGAATGGAAGTACATTGCTATTTTTTTTTATCTGTAGGTTGCTGCGGTGGCCGTGCTATGTGTACAACCAGAACCAAGCTACCGGCCATTAATAACCGACGTTTTGCATTCTCTGATCCCTCTTGTCCCCGTTGAGCTTGGAGGGACTCTAAGACTTACACAAACAAGGCCTTCGGTATCAGTCGACCCATGATTTCCTCATCTACCTATTTGTTTAGGCTATCTTTTTTATTTTTATTTTGTGGGTTTTGTTTTTAAAGATGAAAAAGAGAAGAAAATGGCAAAGTGAGGGTGTTTATTAGAATATTTATTTATTTGGGGGGTAGATGGGTAAAAAGATGTATTTGGTGGGATGGGATGGATATGTAAACTTGAAAAGGGGATCCATATGTAAATGAGAGGGGGAAGGTGTTATTGGTTTTGGAGTCATTGTATGAGTATGATTTGTTTTTGGCTGTATATTATACTTTTTGTGAAACTTAAAGAAAATAGACTCCACGTCCACTTTATAAAAAATAAAAATGGCTGAATTATGATATAATATATTTATATAGGTTTTTTTTTTTTTTTTTTTTTTTTTTTTTTTTTTTTAAATGTGAAATAGGATATGATAGAATATTGGATTAGGCTACTTCTTAGGTTTATTATCTCTATTTTGGTGGATTTTGTTTTGGGTAAATTACACCGATTGGTAGATGTCAGAAAACATGTTTAATCCCTATTTTCAAAAACTAATTCGGATCGTCTTTTGTTTGTTTAATGCTTGCACGCTTCGTCCTTGATATGCAGTTTTATTACGAATTTAGTCCATGTCAAATTTGAAATGACTATAATACTTTTTTTTTTTATTTAATTTCCAATTATTTTTGATTTTTTTATTGATATTAGTTATAGATTAATATTTAGAAAAATGTATATCTCCTCATTTCCAAAAAACCTCACCCTTACAAAAAAAATCACAAACACCACCATTTTCTTTTTGGGCGGACCACCAATGCCAAAAAACCGCCCACCACCATTGTCGGAGCACCATTTACCACCATTATTATTGTCCAGAACCATGACATCCCTTTCCTCCTCCTTTTTTGATCAAATATCCCTTATTCTCCACTCATCATCGTAATCTTCTCCACCATTCAACCACCCTTTTCATCGTGAGCCACCTTCAACCATCAACACAACTCTTGTCCTGTCGACGACCTTCAACAACCAAGAACATGGATCAGGGTTTCCAATCGCCGCCCTAGGGTTTTGAGATCGGTGATCTCCTTCTTTACCTCTCTCTCCTCCTTTTTCGATAGATGATCTCCTTCTTCACCTGTACGCTTAGGGTTTTAGATTCATATACACGAACATGTGTGGTTTCAGATCGAGAACTTTGGACGTTTCATGAAGGATTTCACTTTGGGGTTTTAGATCGAGCATCACCACCACTAATAATCTATTCATCTAGATTGTGTCGCAATCACAGTTAGAGTCTGATCGATGGATTCAAGAGGTTGTTAGATGGTGGGTGATATTGCCATATTTATACACATTTTTAGACAATATTTATTTACATTTTTATTAATATTTTGCTTATTTGAATAGAATTATGATACTTATAAGGATAAATTGTAATTTGCAGCCAAAATAAAACATTTTCAAAGTAAGGGACCATAATTGACAATATTTGGAACTTTGGAGGATTGAAGAAAGGAAGAACGAAAAAATCAGCAAAAGACGTACTTACGACGTGAGTGGAGAATTCTAGAAGATATGCATGTAGGTGAAAGAGTCATTGCCGAACACGCTTATCCCATATTCACGATGTGAATCCTTATGGTTCACGAAGTGAACTCGGGAAATCAGAAAATTATAAATTCCCTTGCCCATCACGACTTGGGGAGTTTTTTGGCTGATTGGAAGGTTACCTGAAGACGATTTTGAGCAAAAAAAGAGTTCTGGAAAAGGCTTTCAACATCAAAATGAGTAAAGGTTCATAATTAGTTAATTAATTTGATAGTGATGAACATGTTTAATAATTTGATTTGTTTTTGCTTACTTGTTACTATGAGTACCTGAATCTAGTAGCTCTTGTCTAGCTAGATGAAGCTTCTGAATTATGTTTTAGCTTAATGACTATTGAATTTGATTAGTTGGTAAATTGCTTGTGTTTTATTATCATTACCTAGTATATTCCATTTTTTCAACTTAGTGTTTCATTTTTTTACCTTATTTTTACCCCCTAAAAAATATATTCCTAGTATATTCTATTTTTTCAACTTATATAGATTGTCAATTATCCCTCTTCTACTAATTTGGTTTTAACAAATATATAATCTATATTTTTTTTCATTACAATACTATTAAATAAATAAGATTATATTTATAACACATAATTATAAGCTTTTGTAAAATACGTTATCGTATTTTAAAATTTCAATATATATTTAAATTTTCATATGAATTTGATAAACAAAAAATAAACTTTATATTTATAATTAATTAATATAATTTAATACATAGTACAATATTATAAGTATTAAATAATATATTTAAATTATAATTAGTAGATAAAATAAACTAATAATGTATAAATATACAAAAAAAGGACTAAAACTGACAACTCAAAGTTCATCCCTATTTTGGGGGGAAATGAATAGTATAACACCATATTAATGAATAGGATAACACCAAATATGGTGTTATACTATTCATTTCCCCCCAAAATGGGAGAATAAATGGGTAAGGTTAGAGATAAATAGAGGAAGAAATGGGAGTGGGTTGGAAATGCTATAATACACTATTACAATCGCCTCTTTTATTATTATTATTATTATTATTATTATTATTATTATTATTATTTTCCTGTTGCTGCCGCTAGGAATATCTTCTCCTTTAATCACCATCTTCAAAATTGTTGTCCGCAACCCCCCTTTGTCAGACTACCACCTTCACGTCATCTTTTCGTCTCCACCTTTACTAGAGCTTCCGTCATGTCGCTAGAACCTAGGCTGGCTAGGGGTTTTCTGGTTCGGGGCTAGGGTTTCGATATTGACGTCGTCATTGATATAGTCTTCTATCTATTTCTTTCTCCGACGAAGACGATGTATGTTTCTAGATCCGTGAGAGGGTCGAACATGAACATGGAAATTCGTAACCCTACCGCTTCTATCACCGATCGACTAGGGTTTTTAGGCCACCAGAATCCTAGATGTATCTATTTTTCATATCTTTGAGGTAGAGAGAGGTGGCAGAAATAAGTAAATGGATTAATACGATATATTTGGTGCAGAAATAAGCCTAACATTTTTATTGGAAAACACGGGTTTCCATGTCATCGACCATGTACTCATTACTTCTGGTATTGTTATTGCCATCTTATTAAGTTCAACCCACAAAACATTCGGAGCAACGGTCAAAATTTATTTCTATCCCATATATAATATGACTTCTTAGCAAAGACCTATTCCATAACGTGGAGGAGCCATAAGTAAATGATACTCTAATCGAATGCCTCTTTGAACATGACAAAGATAAGAAAATATTGGATTAGGCTATTTTCTTGGGTTTATTTTTATGTTTTGTGGATTTTCTTTTTAACATGACAAAGATAAGAAAGTAGAAAAATGATGGTGTTTATATAAAACTTTGTTTAAATGGGGTGTAGATGGGTAAAAGTATTGTATTTGGTGGGGGATAGAAAAGGATATGCAAACTTGGAAAAGATTCCAAATGTAAATGAGAGATGGGGCTTATGATTTGTTTACGGAGTCATTATATTGTATGGTTATACTTTGTTTTTGGTTTAAATTATATTTGTGAACCGCAAAAAGAAAATGGACTCTACTTTCAATTTATAAAAGCGGATGTTTA